AAAAAAAAAAATGTATCTATATTTAAATAAGTAATACAAACAAATTGTTTATTTACATAATATTAAAATTTGTCATCCGGTTGTTGATCATTTTTGGCTAACAAAAAAATTATTTAGTTTTCACATGATTTGCTAAAAATTTTATCCCATAATTTTTAAGCAAGAAAGATCATTCTATATAAGTGCAATATCACCCTATGGGTGGGTGGGTGGCGCGTCACGTTATTGTTATGACTTGAAATGATTGACATGTCATGATAGGTTAACGTTAACTTAACGTTAACATAAGATTAGTTTTTGAGTGATTTCCATTTTAAGATGCTGATCCCCCATCTTTGGTATTGATTTGCTGATTATATAAATACATTTCAAATCAAGCTTTTCTATTTTAGTACGATCGGCAACCAACAAATCTTTTAGTGTTTTAAATATGAGTGAGTTACTGTGCTTTATTTTTTTTTAGTTAAATATAGACTGTATGACCAAAAAATTGCGTAATAGTAATTAATAAATAATTAATAAATACTCGTGATAATTACTCATGAGAATTTTTTCATGCTATCATTTCTTTCACTACTGATAAACTTATAATAAGCCACCGAGTCTATTTTATCAGTCATGATGAGGTTTTACAGGTTTTACAAATATATATACCCTCAAAAAAACTCTTTCAACTTTTTTTAACTTACTTCTTTTTAACTTACATTTGTTCACTCTTATTAGCAATATCATCGAAATGTCACAGTTGTTCAATTGTATACATCTAGACTCTAATATTCTAAATCCGGTTTCTTTTTTCAATGAGAATAATGATAATACTAAAAAGTACACCTTTCTTCAACAAGGTGATCATCAACAAAAAGTCTACTTAAGCGAACTTACAGGTGTACTTCTCAAAATGATATTTGTAGTAAGGTAAATGTTAATTCCAACAATATGAAACTTTGGAAAGTTAATGTCATGAGAAAAGATATCAAAGATAAAAATGTTTCTACCGAAGAAGACATTGTACAAAAACTTGGTGGAAAAGAAATAGAACTTCAAGAACTATTTGAAGAATATTTTCAAGATGAATTAGATCATAAAAATTTTAAAGCGTCTAACATTCACATCATCGCCACCACTGGTAAGTGTCTCTCAATGTTTAATTGAGTTGAAAAAAATACCTTTATTTAATTTTTAACCTTGCACTGTATCATATTCTTTTTTTAATTATCTTTCATATCTTTGTAGCCCCGTTTCTGCTATTGGTAAGTGTCTCAATGTTTTACTTCTCGAACAAGAAATTTCCATTATCTCACCTTTTATTTTCATTCGATCAGGCAAAAGGAAGACGGAAGAGTTTAACTTAGGCGAAGAAAATATAAGTCAAAACTCGAAAAAAGAAAGACTAACAGGTATGTAATTACGTGGTGAATAGAACCATACATTATCGTTGCAAGCATTATGTTATACTAATATTTCTTGTTACTTTCATGCTTTCATGCAATCTAAAGGTTTTACTTTCAGATCTACTCCTGAATCTATAGTGGAATATTTATTGGAACAAAAGGGACTTAAGGATGATTTCAGTAAACCACATAAACTTTGCGCTAATCTAAATAAGCTTGAAAGAAAAGGCCGAGAAGGGTCATTTTATGATGCATATAAATATATTTTGGACCAGCATTTTAAAGTTAAACTCGCAAGAGATAATAAATTGGATTTAAACGATAAAATATTCTATCCTCTTTTTGCACTTCAATCTACACCAGGAGGAGGAAAGTCTTATTTTCTTGATGAGTTTGCCTCTTTAAAAAAAGAAGATCTTAATTCTTTTAAACAAAAAAACCTAAATGACCCAACTGAAATAGTCGATTGTATTATAAAGGAACTGTGTAATTCAGTTTCCACTTGTATATCATATAATGGGAGTTCAGTATATGTCGCTAGTAGAGATGGAGATGGTGGCGTAAAGGGATTAGTGATGCGTATTATATGGAGTTACTTTTTTGATGGAACAAAGTTGCCCTGGGCTTTCTTCTGTAATCAATTCGAAGAAAAATTTGGTTCATTGGATATCTTGACAGCCACTCAAAGCATCATACATCATTCAGGAAAATCAGTACTTCTTTGTGTTGATGAGATTATGAAAATTGATAATGAAAATCACTCAAATATTATTAGCTTATTAAATAATCTTTACACACCCTACCATAGTTTGGCAACCAAAGATAAAAAATTTAGGTTTATTATAACTACTCTTGATGCAATTTGCTTATGGGATACTCAAACGGCTTTAGGTAGACAAATAAATTGGATACCTTTACGAAGACTTGAATTTTCGGAATCAATAGAGCTATTTAAAGAGGTCATAAAAAAATTAGAATCAGATAGTAGAGTGTCTGTTCTTTGCAAGTGCATATCAGGCTGTAATGGTCATCCAAGAACGCTTGAGAAATTTTATGAACTTTTAAGTAACACCACAGCTTTGACGACCTATGGTTGGGCCGCTCTCATTGAAGAGTTAACAAAAAAAATCGTTAATTGGTTTGTTAATTATATTACATTTCCTGTAGTTAAGTTGGCTCTATTAGGAGAATATGTACGCTTAGATACAATGGTAAAAGTAACAGCTTGTAAGGAGTTGAGCGTTAAAGATCTCATTACTTCTGGAGTTTATATTAATTCTGTTACTAATCAAGATGATGTTAATGAAGTTATTCCAACCTTAACTCTTGTTAGCCTCTATTATTTTTGTATGAAAACTGTGGAAGGTGATGATGCAAAGACTGTTGCCAGGATATTAAAAAATTTATTTCATGTAGAAGATCATTTTGATTTAAAATCAAATGATGGAAAGGCGTTTGAAAAGTTTCATATGAATTTGGAGTTGCTCTACCGTGCACTACATCATAGGAATAAGGATGATCACGAGGATAGAACGGAAATGGGCCTTCATGAAATTTATGGTTTATGTTTACCCAATCAGAGTAAGGAGGTAAAAATCAGGATTCAACGGAAGAATATTGTAACATTACACATGAGCATAGAGTTTCCTTCAAAGGATGGTAAAATAAATGACAGTAGAGGTATTGAGATTAATGATCACCTTGATAAATATATGTTTGTTCCTACAAAATCAAACAACAGTGGATTTGAAATGGTGATGTTTGAAGAAAAGGCTAACGGTGGTGGTTACATTGCTTTAAATATTGAGTGCAAATTTTCTTGGCCAGAAAGTAAAACGGTGCTTAGTAGTGAAGAAATTAAAAAAAATATAAACATATGAAGGATAAATATCTACCCCATGTGAATCAAAAACGTCAAAGTAAAGAGCCTCCCATAAGGAAACTCAGAATGGAAATAGGAGACATTTACCTGATTTTAGTGGTATGGAGAGATATAGGTAAACTCGATGATGAAATATTGAATAACAAAAATATTATCATTGTTGGAAGAAAAGAATTAGAAAAAATTTATTCACCTTCTCTCGTATCACGGCCACAATTTTATGGCGATATTCAAAAAAAAATCGAAAATTAGACATAGTTTTAAAAAGTGGACTGATAGACCGCCTACTATAAAGGTTTCTTTGAAGATTGCTACTCCGCATTGCTATTAATTATCTGTAAAATTAATTTATGTACAAGTGTAAACTAGTTATAGATATTCTAATTTCGGATATTACTCTGCATATTAATATATTAGCATATTGAAAAAATCATTATCATGTACAGTAGCATTCTTGCGATCTTTTTCATCGTAATCAAGAATAAAGAAATAATAAAATATCTTAAATAGGTTTTTACTTATTGCTTAAATAAAATAAGGTTTTTTATTAGCATAATTATATGGATATATTCAATTTTATTTTCAAAAAATTTTTTTTTAATGAGGGGACAATTGCGAGAGAGATAATACGAGAAATGTACCATATGAAAGTTTTCCTTTCTTTCATTTAAAAAACATCTTCAGATAATTTTCGAGTTAATTCATTTAAATGAAGAGAAACTAGAAGTGAAATATTTTTTTTAACAGGCTATATAAAATTAAAAAAGGTGGCGAAAATTATCTACAGTATATCACAATATTCACAATATAATGTGATTGACAATTTTTAATAAATTTTTCATAGTTGTGGGTATTTTTTTACTCATAAAATGAAAATCTTTTTTTTTAAAAAAAAGCTAGACGTAACCCGTCGCGTTGCGCCGGGGATGATACTTGCCCATTAAGCAAGAGAGTAGGTAACTATTATTATGATGATATTAGTAGGAAATAAATGTAGTAAATTACACAATCTATATGATTATATGAATTATGTGTAGTATATAATATTATTATTAAATGCAAATTTTATTTATCGTACGAAACAAATGTTGCAGTACTGTGAAATTTACAAATTCATTACAAAAACAATTTTGTATAAGTAGTTTATTGTTACATTGTTACAAAAAAAATCTTTTTTTTATCTTAAAATATTCCATTGTAGCATTAAAAAAAATTACATCCTCTAAAAAAAAATATTTCACTAATTATTATGAAAAAAAAACCTCAAAAAGATTAATTATAACGATCTATTGTAATGAGAAAAAAAAATTCAAAGTAAAAAAATAAATAATATGGTCTAAAAAAAAAGACCGAAAAAAATGATATAAATCTTAAAAGATTATTTAATAAAAAAAAATAATAATAATTTTTCGATTTTGGAAAAAAACCAAATCTAAACGGGAAAAGAATTAAAAAAAAAGAAAGGAAAAAAACGAGAAATTTTTAAAAAAGAAATAAAATAGGAAAAGAAAAAGGTGTTTCGAGAAAAGAAGAAATTTGAAAAAAAAGAAAGAACCATTTGTAAAGATCAATTCAAGAAAAAAAAATGAAAATTAAAAAAAGGGGAACCGAAAAAATTTAGATCGGTTGGAAAAAAAAATATAAGTTAAACACAGGATTGTATATTTAATTTCTGTGGCACGAGTAGGATTGATGTTAATCGATGATTAATTAGGAGATTTTTAAGTTAGATTAACGTGTTGTAATATGAATTATAAAACATTGCTTTCGAATCCTTTTCAGAAGAGAAAAAACTTTTAAAGTAGGTTCTTTTTTTACCTGGAGAAAAATTAGATATTGAATGGAACCAAGAGATTTAGAAAAAAAACAAGATATTTGTTCATGGCTTTAAATAATTTATAGTTTGATTGGTAAAGGTCAATCAAATACCGATAAATTCCTGGAATTTTATTACCGATATGACTTGCTTTTATGTATAATACATACTCTAAAGATCATTATCATACTATAAGACATAACTGCTAATTGATCGCATGATCAAACGTGAGTTTAATAAAATGATCTTAAATTTTTTACAAGTTTCTTATAGAAATTTTTTATCGAAAATTATTCTTTGAAAATCTAGTATTAATTTATAGAAACCTTTAGAGAACTTATAATTTATTGAAAGATTTTTAAGTAATCTGTAAATTACAAGCAGATCCCACCGTCCACCGACGTGCACTATTTTATATTTATCAATAGTCATTAACTTTTGTTAAAAAAGAGATATACTATAGATTAAACAAGTATAAAATACTAGTGTTAGAATTCCAAATTTTATATTCAAACATCAAAATGTTTTATAAATATGGTTTTAAATAAAATATAAGGTTTACAAACTTATTAACACTATAAATTAAACATATATCAACATACTTCTAGTATCCCGCATTTGCGTACAATCACATGATATCCGCTGCGCCATAATTAATGATAAAATAATTAATCAAACTAAATATACTAAAAAAAACTTATCGAATGATTCAATTTTGAAATGATCTAAATTAATCGATTAACTGATTTTTGAGGTACCTTAATCGATTATTTGGATTTTATTACTCAAATTTATACTCGAATAAAGGTCTAAAAATCATCATGGAGATATCAACTTGACAGTTGCGTGTAGGTAAATAAAGGAGTAAATATTCAGTTTAGCTTTACTATTTGCTATACCAGAAACTTCACTACAAGATAAAGGAAAAAAAAATAAAAATCCTCCCGGTGAACGTCGTACTGGCTCGCGTCGCGTATCCGAGCGATCTTTAATGATGGCGCAAAATCTTAAATTATTTTTTTTTAAATGGTTCTGTCAAACCGATCTTTATTTTAAATATGTTTCGATTACCCTTTATTGTTAGATAAATCGAATTTAAAGAGCGATAAATATCTATAGAAAATAATTTTATAATAGATGTAAAAAAACCAGAAACTCTATTTTAGGCTAATGATGAAAGGGGATATATATGCATTGTATCTTCTATACAAATAAAAATATTCTTAGTAATCTATAGGAACCATTTTCTTAATTTTTCTAATTTATTTTGAGCATTTTGATTTCCTTGTTTAGCGGATTTCTCGTACCAATAAATTGCTTGGTTTATATCCTTTTCAATCCCTTTTCCATATTCATACATAACAGCAAGATTATGTTGAGCACTGCTATTTCCCGAATTTGCCGCCCTGTCATATAATTCAAAAGCCTTATCGTAATCCTTATCAACACCTATTCCATTTTCGTATATGATACCAAGATTATTTTGAGATATTTTATGTCCTAAATTTGCAGACTGTTGATAAAATTCAAATGCTTTTTTCTTATCGACATTAGTTCCAATACCATTATTATAACAATAACCTAACATCATTATTCCATCTAAATTCCCTCCTTTAGCTGATTGTTTAAATAATTCAAAAGCTTTGTTATAATCTTTATTAACTCCTTTTCCATTTTGGTACATAAGAGCAAGATTATATTGAGCATTGCTATTCCCTGAATTCGCTGCACTATGAAATAATTTAAAAGCTTCATTATAATCTTTATCAACACCATCACCACTATTATACATATAAGCTAAATTATTTTGAGCCATACTATTTCCCAAATTTGCCGCTTTTTTATATAATTCAATGGCCTTTTTCTTATTAGTAGCAATTCCGATTCCAAAATTATAAAAATAACCAGCTTTTAATAATCCTGATGCATACCCCATATTTGCTACTTTTTCATAATATTTAAAAGCTAACTTTTCATCTTTGATAGTTCCACGACCAGATTGATAACATAATCCAATATAAAATTGTGCTAATACATGACCTTGCTCTGATGCATTAATAAATAAATCAAATGCTTTCTTATTATCTTCGCTTGTTTCAATTCCTAAATAATTAAAATATCCAAGTAAAAAGATACAATCTGAATTATTTTGATTAATAAGTAACCAATCATGAATTTCTCGTGAAATTATATTATTATTATTAAAATAATCAAAAATATTTTTAATATTTTTGTTTAATGTCGAATATTTTCCTTCATTGGTAATTTTGAAAATATAATTTACTATATTATTAACCATTATACTTATATTTTTTTCAGGTGAAATGACTTTGTTTATTATAGATATAATTTCATTAGTATTCATCATATTAAAATTTTGAATAACATGTGACATTTCTCCATGTAATGAATTATCAGTATTTGAAGAATTATCAGTATTTGAAAAATCATCAGTATTTGAAGAATAACCAGTATTTGAAGAAGTATTAGTATTATTAGTTGGACTAAATTCTCGTTCATCCGTTATTGTTGGTTGAAGATTTAATCCTGTTTGATAATTTTCTGTTATTATATTTGTTTTTGTTATAATTGTTTTTAATCTTTCTACTACTTGATTTATGGATGGACGTATTTCAGGTTCTCCATCCCAACATTCTAATAATAATATAATGTAAGTAATATATTAACGAATTTACTAAAATTCTTTTAATTAAAATGCTATTACATACCAGTATAAATTTTCTTATAATCTTCTGGTGTATCTGGAATTGGCTCTTCTCTAAGACCTTGTGAAATGTCTAAAGCCAACTCAATATCATATTGTTCGGTATAAAAAGGAGGTTGACCACTAGAAATCTCCCAGAATAATACTCCAACACTATAAATATCACTTTTTTCATTTAATGAGAATATTTGTGAGTTTTTATTCTTTCTTCGTCCACCAAATTTTTTCGGATCAATATAAGGAACTATTCCAAAAACTTTCGTTCGTGTGTTAGATAATGTTTCAATTCTCTTTGATAATCCAAAGTCGGCTAACTTAATAGTATTTTGATTGACCAGTACATTACCAGAGTGCTATTAAAAAAAATGTATTATTATGTTAAAAGATATAGAAAAACTTTAAAATAATAATTTTATAATTAATAAAATATATTACCAAATCACGATGCACAATTCCTTCATTATGCAAACATGATACGCCACAAGCTAATTGGTATGCCAAGTTGTATTTGTCGTTCCAAGTCAGATTATCGAAGTTTTTCTTTAAATAATTTTTAAGAGGACCGGAATCAGCGTATTCCATCACCAGTAAATAATCTTTTGATTGAGAATTTTGATTTTCTAATTGATGAAATAAATAAAATTTTTTATTAAATTATATATTTGCGAAAGTCAAGTTACATATAACCTTGAATAATATTAATATTGTTGAATATTTTATCATACCTGGGTCGAATTGTGCAACTCCGTAAAATTTAATAATGTTATTATGAAATTGTATAATACGTTGAAGCTTAAACTAGAATATATAATAAATATTACAAATATAAATTTTAATTAGTACATATTATTAATATTAAAATATTATATTTTATTTCTTTTATAATTTATACCTCATGAACAATTTCTCTCGCAGTAATATTATCAATATTAAAAAAGGATTTTAACGCTAAATATTGATCCGAATTTTTCCATTTCGCACGATAAACTTTTGCAAATCCTCCGGCACCAATTTTTTGAATATTATTAAAATGTTTTTGCTCATAAAATCCATAATACTCTTTAGAAATTGCTTCTTCAATCCAGTTAGTCCATTCGTTTGTATATTTGGTGTTTTGCATTTTGATATTATTAATATTTGTGGAGTATAAAGGAAGAAAGAATTATTAAATACTGAAATTCTTGAATTTTAAATTTTATGTTGATAATGTCGTACAAATTAATGATACAAAACAAAACTGCATGATTTAACACATGTAGACCACCAATTGACAAATCAGATCTTGTGAAATGATGATCACGTACCAATCTATAAATTATTTTTATTAATAAATTTAGCTTCTTTTGTTTTTTAACGTTTCCTTTCTTTTTTTTTTGTAGGTCAGGTCAAACAGATAATCTGATATAACCTGACCTGACCATAAAAAAACCATTAATTGAATCATTTATAATATATACACATTATAAGGACTAAGGAGGCTGAATCTTTTCTACAATGATCACTGAAATAGATTACGTAATTTAAACTTGTGCTATCACGTAAATCACATGATAAAGTACTGCACGTGACATATTCTTGGTGACAAATAGGCTTCGCACCATTCGTAATAAAAGCGATAAAATTATAAGCAAATAAGTAGGTTATAAAGGAAGTAAATAAGTAAGTTGAAGTTCATTTAGAATATATATATCCTTATGAACCTTTCTGAAAATAGACTCTTCTTGATCTGTGGCTTGTTATGACGGCATGGATACGTCAAAAAAGTAGTGATTTAAAAAAAAGATTTAAAATGTTATTCATTTTTAGGCATAGTTTAAATAAAATATATCAATAAAAAAAAATTTATAGTAATATATTTATATATTTATTTAAAATTTTTAATAATGTATTCAAATAAAAAAATCTCGATTTCTTAATTCTTCTAATCTAAATTTGGCACGGGGATATCCTAGTTCAGTAGATTTCTCGTACCAATCAATGGCTTGATTTACATTCTTTTTAATTCCTATTCCAAATTCATACATAATTGCAAGATTATATTGAGCAAAACTATTTCCTGATTCTGCAGCCTTATTATATAATTCAAAAGCTTTTTCATGATCTTTATCAACACCCTCTCCATAATAATATATATTAGCAAGGTTATATTGAGCATCACAATCTCCCGAATTTGCTGCCTTTTGATATAATTCAATGGCTTTGATATGATCTTTATCAATACCTTTTCCGTGTTGATACATATAAGCAAGATTATATTGTGCCATACAATTTCCTAAATTGGCCGCTTGTTGATATAATTCAGAAGCTTTTTGCATATTAACACTGGTTGCAATACCTTCTTCATAGAAATAACCAATTTTGTATAATCCTGATGCATAACCTTTATTGGCTATTTCTTCAAAATGCACAAAAGCTAATGTTTCATCTTTCACAGTTCCATGACCAGATTGATAACATAATCCAACATAAAATTGTGCTAACGCATGACATTGCTCTGATGCATTGATGAATAAATCAAATGCGGTCTTATTGTTTACACTTGCTTCAATTCCTAAATAATTAAAATATCCAAGCAAGAATATAGAATCTGAATTATTTTGATTAATTAATAACCAATTATAAATTTCACGTGAATTTATACTATTACGAATAAAATAATAAGTAATAGTTTGAATATTTTTGATTAATGTAGATTCATTTCCTTCATTAATTATTTTGAAAATATAATTCACTGTATCGTGAACAATTTCATTTGTTAATGTTGTAGGTGCTATTTCCTTTGTATTCATTTTATCAAAATTTTCAATAATTTGAGACATTTCCCCATGTAATGAATTATCAGTATCTGAAGAATTAATAATATTAGTTGGAAAATTTTGATCATCTGTTGATGCCAATTGAAGGTGTAATTCCGGTCGACAATCATTTGTTATTACGTTTATTTCTGTCATAATTGCTTTTAAACTTTCTAATACTTGAATCATGGTTGGACGATTATCTGGTTCGCCATTCCAACATTCTATTAATAAAAATAAAAATACGATAAAATATTTGTAATTTATATAATTAAGGAGAGTTTGTGAAATATTTTTTTAAAAAAAAGTATTACATACCGGTATAAATTTTAATATATTCCTCAGGTGTATTAGGAAAGGGTTTTTCTCTAAGGCCTTGTGTAATTTCTAAAGCCAATTCGAAATCATATTGCTCACCTTCGGTATAAAAGGGAGGTTTACCACTAGATATCTCCCAGAATAAAACGCCAATGCTATAGATATCGCTTTTTTCATCATCTTGTGTTGAATTTTTGTTCTTTCTTCGTCCATTAAGTCTTTTTGGATCAACGTAAGGAATTATTCCAAAAAATTTCGATCGTGTGTTGAATGATGACGATTCAATTCTCTTTGACAGCCCAAAATCAGATAATTTGATAGTACTCTGATGAACCAATACGTTACTAGAGTGCTATTAAAAATAAGCATATTATGTTAAATCATTAAAATATAAAACAATTTTTCATCTAATTAATTATGTTTAATAAAGTAGATTACCAAATCACGATGCACGATTCCTTCATTATGTAAACATGACACAGCACAAGCTAATTGATACGCAAAATTATATTTATCGTTCCAATTAAGATTATTGAAGTTTTCCTTCAAATAATCTTTAAGAGTACCCGAATTAGCATACTCCATTACTAATAAATAATTTCTTGATTGAGAATTTTGATTTTCTAATGATGAATGAAAGAGATAATAATTTTTATTTATTAAATTAAAATTATGCAAGTCAAATAACAAGATGATCTTGAATAATATTGTTTAATAGTTTATCATACCTGGGTCAAATTGTGCAACTCCGTGAAATTTAATAATGTTATTATGAAATTGTATATCACGTTGTAGCTTAAGCTAGAATATGAATATTATTAATTTAAGTTCAAAAAGTACAGTATAAACTATTAAATTATATTATTTTATAGTTTTATACCTCATGAACGATTGCTTTTGCAGTGACGTTGTCAATATTAAAAAAAGACTTTAACGCTAAATATTGTTCGGAATTTTTCCAGCTTGCACGATAAACTTTTCCGAATCCTCCAGTTCCAATTTTTTGAACGTTACTAAAATGTTTATAGTCATAAAATTTATAATACCCTTTAGAAATTGCTTCTTCAATCCAATTAATCCATTCATTTTCATTTTTTTTGCTTTGCATTTTGATATTTTTAAAAAAATCGGAGAATATAATAAAAAGAATTTCCATTTGTGGATCTTTTTTTTAAAAATCATATCGATAATGTCGTACAAAAATATACGATACACAAAAAGTATAATTAGTATAATTCCGCCTATAATTTTTTCCGATTTCTAATTTTAGAAATGATAATCCAACTTAAAGTTTTGGCTGAAAGTTATTTTGTTCGGTTAAATTCTGAAATCAATAAAAAGGGTTATATATTATATTTTATAATTATTTAATTTTTTATTATAATAGAATTCTAAAACTATATTGTAAACCATTTTATTCTAAATAAATCGATCTTTTTTTTTAATTTTTTCCTTTTTTCGGGTTGGTTTTTTTCTAAAGCCGAATTTTTTTTTTTTAAATATTTTTAATTTTTCTTTTTTTGATTTGGTTCTTTTTAAAACAATTTTTAAAAAAATTTTTTTTTCCTTTATAATTTATACAATATTTTTTTTATATTTCTTCATTACTTATCTGTTATTTTTGTTTTTTAAACTTGAATCCAGATCAGTGATCGGATTAACGCTTTCAACTCTTATTTTTAATAATAATTTTTTTTCCTAAATATTTATTTTCTTGCTGATTTTTTTTGTTCTTTCACTTTTTGGATTGGATCAAAGTCACCTCTGTTATAACCAAGATAAATACATAATTTTTTTTATTTGAATAAATATGTTTCATATGATTTTTTTTTAGTTAAAATAAATATAGTTTTCTTTTTTTATTGTATCTATTTATTTATAACTAACACTATTAAATATGAAGCCAAAAAAAAAAATATTTTTGGTTCAGACATTAAATAAATAACTATTCTTTTCATTTATTTTATATTTAAGCAAATTACTCATTCTCAAATGAGATTTTTTTAATTCGCTCAAAATCTTTTTACATATGGTTGATCACTTTGACCAAATTTTTTTTAAAGGTAAAAAGTATAATTAAAAGATGAATAATTGACAAAAAAAATATTAAAAATGAAGTATTATTACACAAAAACACGGGTTGCCATTAAGAAATATCTTTTATTAAACAAGAAGAAAGATAGGGAGTGATCGGCCCAATTCCATCTTATATAACAAAAAAGAATAGGGAACTCAAAATTTTCGAAATTATCAATGCAATATCTGAATCAATGAAACTAATAAAAATTAGTGCTCCGCAAAATTCGGGTCTAACCCGGATAATTCAATCCGAGTAAATTTTAAATCGGGTCGGTACTAACAATTTTAATAACCCGTGACCCGCATGACCCGACCCGTCGGGTCGGGTCATTCATTTCCTTGACTCGAGTTTTGACCCGAATTAGACCCGGATGATCATTAAAATCACTGATCACATATCGATTACGCATTAATATTGATTACGTTATATAATTTTGTTAGATAAATGAGGTAGTATATCCTCAACTTAGCGAAAATTGCTAGAGACACCTCGCAATTTTGGGTATGTGTATGAATTATTATTTTAATTATTAACATTACATTAACTAATAAGTTGATTTTGATGATTAATAAAGCAACCAGCATTCCAATAGTTTTCAGTGGAACCTATTTGATAGCTGCAAAAAGATGTAGTCTTAAAGCAGATAGAATTAGAGCATGCATGTGTTTAAAGTCCTGGCAGATATAAAGTATAGTCAAATTTCTGTTAAAGGAAGTGATATAATTTCAATTTTATAGTTCAAATATAAAGCAATAAATAAACAGGAAATTGAAGATATCTTTAAATTCGTGCTTAGCTTTAGTTTTAATAACAAAAAGTTGTGTGACCTATATGATCATCTTGTAAATCAATTACCTTGCGTTATTGAAAAAATTATATTTGAAAAAATATTTTTGATATATTACTAAGCATACAGTATATTATCCAATGAAAATTTCGGGTCTAACCCGGGTTATTCGAATTAAATATACTCGGGTCGGGTTAAAATCGGATCATTTCTATTTTTGCCGGGTCAAGTCGGATATATTCTCCAAACCCGACCGAATCCGACCCGGTAGGAGCACTAATAAAAATCAATAAAAAGACAATAATAGTGAATGATATTCAAAATAATGTTAAAGAAAACAGCTAAAAAAAAAGAAAAATGAAAGAGGAGAGGAAAAAGAATTTGAAGATCAAATAAAGAGATTTTGAAAAAAGAAAAGTGTTTGTGTGAAATAATTTGATTTTAATATCTCTTATTTATTTAATAATTATATTAAAATATAATAAAAATAATAAAAAATTATTATGTGATTCATAGATAATTAAAAATAGCAATACTATTTTTAGTTATATTCTTTTTTAAATAAGATTTTATATAAAATGTTTAATAAAGAAAAAAATATTTTTTTATTTAAATAAATCACCATTATACATAATTGATATTTATAATAATACTGAATAAATTGAAAGTAATAACATAAAATCCTTTAAACTGTAATCATTTTTTATTTTGAAAATTTACTAAATAAATATCATGAAAAATTTATTTTGTATTTGACACATCTGGAAAAGGTTAATGAAATACAAAATGGGAAGATATTTTTGCAAGCACATATAAAGTTCAAAATGAAAAAAAAGAAATACGGTTAATTAAAAATTCGCATAGATTTATATGACAAAAATTTATTGGTCACGCTAGGCTAGGGCCGGCTAGGGCCTAGGGGTGCAGACTTTTGAATTTCTTATAGTTATGGCAGTCCCGTCAGTAACGGCACATGGTCACATGACTTAATAAACGACCCTTCGATGCTACAACTTTTAAACTTGATTTAACCTTTGTAATTTTCTTCTATTTAATGGCAAAATCCCATACGTACGCATGCGTGCGCTGCATTACGTTAAATTGCTTTAATCGGTCCAAAATTCCAAAAAGCTGTCATCGGAATTTATTAATTTTATGAATTAGACCTAAAGACTTGAAAAAATACGGGCTCAAATTCATTATTTGACTCTTTTTATACCAAAACCTTATATTATAAAATAGTAATATGCCTCTACATACCACTTTATATGTTTTTTTTATTAGAATTTGCATTAATATTTACAATAATAATTAATAATAATTTCATGATATAGAAAAAATTTTTTAAAGAATTAATTAATGAGCAAAAAAAATTGAAGATTTTTAACGTCTACTCTAGGTAATCAAGAATATTCAAAATGGATTTTTAAAGAATTTCTCACAAAAATATCATCAATTAATTCTAATAGATTTTATTAGAAATTTCACAAACTTTATAAAAAAATATCTCAAAAAAGTTTAAATAAATTCTTTAAATAAAGATTTTTTTTAAAAAAATTTTATTAAAAAGCAAGAGGTTTTGAATTCATTATAACTTTGGAATTTGTAAATGAGAATACACTATAATTCTTTTTTTTTTTAGCTATTAATTACCTTCAGATTTGATTTCTTCTTTAAAGCCTAAAGAAAGAGATTAGGCCAAAAATACAGGTCATGTCAGTAGTATTCGGAAATGACCTAGTCATTTGACCAAGTCATTTGGCCAAAGGATTTGCAAATGGTAAATGCCAAATGTGACATATGACAATACTGAATATGGGAAAATGGATTTGTCCCAAATAAATAATTCATTAATATAGAATTTATTGCTGAAGGAGGCTTTAGTAAAATTTATAAAGATGATACTATGTGATACTATTGGAAAAAATTCCTTTTTAGTAAATGGTGTAAATATCACGATACGACATAATGGTAGTTACAGTTGTGTTTATTTATCTCTAGATATCTGTCACATAAATCACATGATAGTGTTTAAATCATGTGATGTTTAGTTTTCCAGATTTCGGAATTTTACAAAGAATACTTAAATAATTTATAAATATAACTTTTATTGTTTTATTTATTAAAGAATATATTTAAAAATTAATTGGATTTTATTAAAAAATTTTAAATTTCATTGTACACATTTTTTATTATTCTCAGTAAAATGTATTTATAGTCTTATCTTTCAGCATTGTTAATCATTCATATTCTTCTATTTGACAGATTTAAAAATTTATCTAAAAAGTGAATGACTTACATTTTACATCCTTTATGATACTATATGAATACGTGCGTCATATTTTAAAACTTCTACACTCACAATCCTGACAAGATTTTACATTATTTGACGTAATAATTTTGTTATACTTTGTAACTATTAATATTTCTATCAATACATATTAATTATAAAATATTTCGCAAGCTTTTTTAGATATATATCAGTTGATATGCATCAGTAATTGGTTAATATTACCAAAATTATCTCATCTCTATCACATGACTCTCAAAGATCGCATCTCGAATTTTCTATCAAATTAATTTCGCTGTGTAATATAAATTTAAATGTCATAATATTTCATAAAATTACTAACAATTTATTTGATATTATACTATATGATTTAATATGATACTAAAATTACAAATATTACGACTTTATTGTAATTTATTTGTAGAAGTTACTACATCTATTATATACCTAAGTCGTAATAATGAGTAAGATTAATGAGAACATATGTAATTTTAATGACTTACGAGTCATATAATTCATGTATTATTAATCATATTTAATGTTAGCCATATTTGGAAAAAATTACAATTTTTATTAGTTTATGTCAATGTGACTTAATCTTTTACATATTCATATTGATAATTAACTAATGGTATAACTAAAAAATAAGTATTACAATGAAACATACACAATATAAATATTACAAAATGAATAAGCTTTTGTCAGTTTGACCCATTATTACAAACTGATTTTTTTAGTTTGTCATTTTTGTAATAATAAGTCAAATTGACAATTAATTTTGCATTAATATATCAGTTCAAGTCATCATTTTTTTTGTATATTTAAGATGTCTAATTTTTCTTCCAACTTTTACTTTTCATAAATTCTTTGCTTTTTGCTTTTGTAAAATTTTGTTAATTTACATTTGCTTTTGTAAAATTTTGTAAATTTTGTAAATTAACAAATTCTACAATCTATAAATTTACTATAATCTATATATAATACTTATATATTTTTTTTTTTAACAAACTAATCATGAGTGTAACTGAGAATTATATTGGATTTGAAGAACTTGTTTTTTATTTAAATGAATCAAGAAAAATTTCTTACCATGGATTTTTGGATATTTACCGAAATACTATTATCGCTTCATTGTCTCAATTAACTAATTTTCCATTAGAAAAGTGGCAAAACTTTAATATTGCTTGGACTAATCGCTTTTTGGATAATGCAAAAGAATTATTGGATTCAAACGCTTTTACTGAATTAAAGAAAAAGGTATGTTTTATTTTTATTTTGCAAAGGTGGGTAACTCCTTAATACTCACCGTGGTCACTTTTTGAGAATTACTGGTCTCGTTCGCTTGGTAACCACTCCAGGCTCTCATTCCAGGCGCCCTACTTTGTTGTTAGTAAAGTCTGCTAGTTCTGGAGGAGGAGCTGGCTATGTACCTTCTTTACTACTAAATAAAAATTTAGCATACATTAACAATCTGCTTTCTTATAATAGGTAAATATAGAGCATTCAAAACGTAAAAAAGATTTGCAAATATTTTGGCAAGAAGTTATTAAAGATTATGAAAAAAGTCAGAAAATTATCAAGGAATATGAAAAAGAAAATACCTTTACTACTGTTACACCTCTTCCAAAAAAGCCAATTAAATTTTCTGAAACTTTACAATCAAAAGAAAATACTTTTTCCACTGTTACACCTCTTCCAAAAAAGCCAATTAAATTTTCTGAAACTTTACAATTAAAAGAAAATACTTTTACCACTGTTAAATCACTTTCTAAAACTTTACAACCAGATATATCTTTGCTTTCAAAAAAAACAGGTAAAAGTTCTGTTAAAAATCTTTCTGAAACTTCACAATTAGATTTATCTAAAAAGAATATAACATTTATTAATAACTTCTGTTATGATATATTTCATGAACTTGAAAATGAATCTTATGCTAATTTATTTTATAAATATACTAAAGATGATGTTAAAAATGAAGTTATAGAATATCCAATGGATCTATTTACTATAAATTCAAAATTAGAAAATAATCAATATACAAGTTTAAAAGAATTTGAAAAAGATATTCGTTTAATATTTTGCAACTGTTATACATATAATGATATTAAAAGTAAAGAATATTGTTCAGGTAAAATATTAGAATCTATTTTTAATGAAAAATGGAATGAAAAAATTATTCTTTATGATAGACAAACAAGAGAACTAAAAAGAGTAAGAGATACTGATACTGATGATACTGATGATACTGATAGATTCTGGAAGAAACAATGTCAAATTTTAGAACAAAATAAAAATAATTTAATATATAGACAGGTTATTAATGATGCACTTCTTATTGCTTCAGCATATGAAAGTATTGTTGTAGGCAATATTATACCTTTTATTGAAATTTTAAAGACATTTCTATTAACTAGATCAAGAATGTCTTTATCTTTAGCAAATGAATCTATGCTTCAGGCAATTATTGAAAGTCTTCTACCATTAAAATATCGTATTCCAGAGCTTTCATTAGTAATGGATGGCAAAAAGTTAAAGGGATCAGGTCGCTTTGGTTATTCAGATATTTTTGTTTTGAAAGGAATAGGTGATATTTACTATATTAGCTTAGAATTAAAATATATTTCATTAGTTGGTTTAATAAAAAATCAGAAAGTTAAATATGGTGCAAATGAATTAGAAAACTTAGATAAAATCCTTGAAAAGGAAAGTGAAGAAGATTTACTAAAAAGACCATATACATATTGGTCCAAAGAACATAAAAGAACAAATCAGACAACTATAGGTGAAGTATTAAACCTGTCTCTTATACACATCTAGATGTGTATAAGAGACAGATCTTTATCTTTAGCAAATGAATCTATGCTTCAGGCAATTATTGAAAGTCTTCTACCATTAAAATATCGTATTCCAGAGCTTTCATTAGTAATGGATGGCAAAAAGTTAAAGGGATCAGGTCGCTTTGGTTATTCAGATATTTTTGTTTTGAAAGGAATAGGTGATATTTACTATATTAGCTTAGAATTAAAATATATTTCATTAGTTGGTTTAATAAAAAATCAGAAAGCTAAATATGGTGCAAATGAATTAGAAAACTTAGATAAAATCCTTGAAAAGGAAAGTGAAGAAGATTTACTAAAAAGACCATATACATATTGGTCCAAAGAACATAAAAGAACAAACCAGACAACTATAGGTGAAGTATTGAACAGTGGTATAAGTCAACTAGAATCATATATGAATACAATTTCAAAGGGAAGAGTTGTTGATTATTCTGGTTCAGGAATATTTGATGAACGTGTTAAAATAGTTAAATCAAATCCTAATAAATTAAAAGGATTTGTTATTTTAGTAATTGGTTTTCGTCGTATTTTATGGAAACCTGTTGATGAAGTAATATCTAATTATACATATAATATAATTTAAGTATTATTTTAGTTTAGCAATTTAACTAGTAAATTTAAAGTAATTCAAATAATATGTAAAATTACATCTTATTTCATTACATTTTAAAAAATATAGTTATTTTATTATTCTTCTTAAATTGGATGAGTTTACTATTAGTATATAGTTTGTATTTATATAAAAAATTGTGAGGTTTAATACTTTCAGAATAAAGATATAGCAGACAATAAGTATCTGGTATTATATACTACTTTATTTTCAATCCAATTATTTACTTAGTTGTTAATACTATTAGTAATATTAGAAATTTCAAAACAATTTTCAGTAGGCTAAATTAAAGATTTTGTACTTTTAAATCTATAATACTTTTTGTTGTTAAAGTTGATCAATAAGTATATTTATTTGGAAATAATATATAATATATATTTGGAATTATTTACCTATATATATTGTATACCATTTGTTATTTGTTATGACTACTATATAAAGTAAAATTTAGATAACAATAAAGTATTACAAGTACACTAAAGATCAATTATAAGGAAATTTATAAATATCAAACTTTTATATTTAATTAGCTATCAGACTATTAATATAATTTACTTCTACTATATTTAATTGCTGATCCATTATCAGTAGGGTATCACCAGAAGGTATTTCTTTTGGTGTATAATATACTAACTTCAAATAATATACAATAAGGTTAAAATTTCAGTTAATATACCAATTTCCTTAATTAAAAATCGTATCTTAAAATTTATTTCCTTTTACTCCTTTTTAGTATTGAGGAGACTTATAATAAATTGCACTTTCATTCCTTCTGAAAGTAAATAAAATCATTAAATAAATAATTTGATTTATTTAAATTTGCAAGTATAACTAATATAATAAAGATTTAAAGATAAAATGGCAACTGACTGCTATTCTTAATAAGAAATTTCAACAATAATAATAAAAGCAGAATAAAACAATAATAGTATTTTAGTTATGTTTCAAAAATCTGTGGTAAGACAAATTTCTTGACTCATTTAAATAAAAAAACAAGTTCTTTAAATCCAATATAATTTTCAGTTGTACTTATAATTAGTTTGTTAATTTCAAAAAAATATAAAGTTTAAAAAAATATAAAGTATTATATATATAAAGTATTATAGATTATAGATGTTAGAATTTATAAAAAATCTACAGTTTAAGTTTATTATTTTGTAATAATGGTCAAACTGATAAAAGCTAATTTATAATTATTTTGTTATAATAAATGTTTAGAAAACAATTTCAAAACTTTGTGATTGTGAAATATTCTAAATATTTTATTAATATATATGACTTGAACTAATATATTGATGCAAAATTAATTATCAATTTGACTTATTATTACAAAAAATGACAAACCAACAGTTAAAGATTATTATTTTTATAATAATAGTCAAACTGACAAAAGCTAATTTATTTTGTAATATTTATTGTATATGCTTCATTTTTTTAGTTGTAAAAAAGCTTAATATGTAAAATATTAAACCACATTGGTAAAGACTAATAAAAATTGTATAATATGGCTTATATTGTTATTGGTATTTTATTGGATGATTTGTTAAATTATCATGCTAATTTAGTTTAACAAAAATTATTTAATTATTCCTTTTATTTTTTTTTTTACTAATTTAATTGGATAAAAAGTTATTAAAAAATTTTTTTGATGTATAAACAATAAATCATATATAATTAACAAATAACAAAATGAATTGTAAATAATACTAGATTATTGCAAACAATAATAATTATAATGATAATAAACTTTTATACTAAGTATTTACTAAAAATTATACTAAATCTTATCATATGAAAATTAGTTATTATCTATTCTATCAACTTTATACTAAGTATTTACTAAAAATTATACTAAATCTTATCATATAAAAATTAGTTATTATCTATTCTATCAACTTTATACTAAGTATTTACTAAAAATTATACTAAATCTTATCATAGTTATTATTTCTACGATGAAAACCAATTACTAAAATAACAAATCCTTTTAATTTAGTAGGATTTGATTCAGTTATTTTTACCCGTTTATCAAATATTCCTGAACTAGAATAATTAATTATTTTTCCTTTTGAAATGATATTCATATATGTTTTCAATTGATCAACTCCATTATCTAATACTTCTCCTATAGTTGTTTGTTTAGTTTCTTCATGTTCTTTCAACCAATATGCATATGATCTTTTTAGTAGATCCTTTTCATTTTCTTTCTCAATAATTTTACCTAGATTTTCTAAATCATTTGCATTAAATTTATTTTTTTGATTTTTTATTAAATTAACTAATGAGATATATTTTAATTCTAAACTAACATTATTATTGCCTATTCCTTTTAAAATAAAAATATCAAAATATCAAAACTGACCAGATCCTTTTAATTTTGTGCCATCTATTACTAGTGATAATTCAGGAACATGATATTTTAATGGTAAAAGACTTTCAACAATTGCCTGGAGAACTGGCTCATTTGCAGAAAATAATGACATTTGTGATCTTGTTGACAGGAATGTTTCTAAAATTTCAATAAAAGGTATAATATTACTTGCAACAAGATTTTCATATGCTGAAGCAATAAGAAAAGCATCATTTACAACTTGCCTGTATACTAGTTTATCTTTGTTTTCTTCTAAAATTCAAATTTGTTTTTTTACAAGTAAGTAATATAAATAATATAAATGCAAAAAAAGTATTAAAATATATTATATATAATGATGAATTAGTATCATTATCTTGTACTCTCTTTGATTTTTCCTTTTGTTTAACTAGAAAAATAATTTTTTCAGCCCATATTTTATTAAAAGCCAATTCTAATGCTTCTCCTAATTTATATATTTCACTTCCAATATTATTATATGTATAACAATTGCAAAATATAAGACAAATATCTTTTTCAAAGTCTTTTGCACTTGTGTATTGATTATCATTTAATTTTGAATTTATAGTAAAAAAATCCATTGGATTTTTTATAGGATTTTCTTTTTCATCATACTTATAAAATGGATGAATATTAGATTTATTATCAAGTTCTTGAAGAATATTATGGCAAAAGTCAATAAGTTTAATGCTTTTTGGCACAAGATTTTTTTTTTTACATTCTTTAATAATTTCTTGCCAAAATATTTGTAATCTTTTTGCATAACGTAATTATCTGTTATAAAAAAGAAAATGTTAGTAGTGCATCAAATTTTTATTTAGTTTTTATTTTATGATAAAGAAGGTACATAGCCAATTCCTTCTCCAGAATTAGCAGACTTTATCCAAAAGTTAGGACACCTGAACTGAGAGCCTTGGGTTGGTTACCAAAGATGTCAAATCCAGTAATTCCTCTAAGCCAAACCAATGATCAACCTAGAGGTTATCCTAATTTTGCAAAATAAAAACAACAAAGTTAGGGTGCCTGAACTGAGAGCCTTGGATTAGTTACCAAAGATGTCAAATCCAGGTTACCCTTCCTTTGCAAAATAAAAAAAAATGCACCTTATCTTTAAAATCAGGAAGATCTTTTGTTTCATGCAAAAATCAAGCAGTCCAAGTATTATTTAGCTCACACCAATCAACAATAATATCATGGTAATTATTTAAGAACCCCAATATGATGCTTTATTGCTTCACTATTTTATATAAGAAATAAGTGCTAGAAAGATTGAAAGGTTAATTAGTTGTGAATATTATAAGTTAAAATACAATTTTAAGTTTACAAGATTTACCATCTTGGCCAGGGTAACTTTCAGATATACTCATGATGATAAATTGATAATTTGACAATTCACAGTCTCACCAATTTTTTCATAATCCTTTCTGGTCACATTTTCTAATTTCATTTAAATTTTTTTGCATACATTGCAATATAATGAACAAAACCAAACTTTGTTTTCACAAATACATTATTCTGTCATTGGTTTTGTTTAGAGTAGGTAAAATCTTTGATAGTTGGTAAAATATCTTGATGAAATCTCTTTGTAATGGATTGATAATTAGAAAATTGTCTTAGGTAAATCTCTGAGGTCAAGTTTAGCAAACTTTGGTTGATACTAAAAAAAATTAGTAAATCAGAAATCAGAATAAATCAATAAATAAAAATTAGTAAATTAGAAATCAGAATAAATCAATAAATCAGATAAATCTTATGGGAAGGGATCTTAAATAAAAAAAAAATCACTTGTAGGTATTATGACTTGAGCTGATGTATGAGATATTAACATTGACAAGACTAGTGCTTCGATCCATATGCAGATTGACCGGATTAAATCAAAAATCCAGATGAAATCCACGGTTTGAACCAGATTTCATCAGATTCATCGGATTGCCAGTTTTCAGATAACTTAAAATATTTCTGAAACCAATGATCAGAATTTAACAATTTAAGGAATGTTTGATAGTGCTTGACGTTGTGTATTTAATGGTAGGACTGGATTTTTTGAAATAATTTTTTATCCAGATTTTCATTTAATAACAGTTTTCATCCAGATTAAATTGTTATTCAATCCGAATGACAGATTTCATCCGGATCGAAGCACTAGACAAGACTGACAAAAACTGAATCATTTTGCCAAATATGGCATGATATAATTTTTTATCAATATATATAGTTAAACATCTGTACTATAGTTTCTGATTAATAGAATAGTAAAGTATGACAATTAAAATAGAAATAATTGGTCAGAATGACAAATAACAAAACTGAATCATTGCCAAACAACTTAAATTAAAGAAATGACTTGACTTTTGTCAGGCTTACTCATTTGATGTATATAAATAAGAATGTAATAATTTCAGATGTTCACATGAAACAATATGATATCCCGTCATATTAATATGATTATGATTCAAGATTAATAATTCATAAAGATTGCTTTGTTGAATTAATTTGAGTCATTAAACCAAATAATCGATTTAGTTAATTCTAATTTTGAAAAAAAATTTCTAAATCTTGTATTTCTTTTGTCAGTTTTACTCATTTTTAAAAAATAATAAATACTAAAAATATATGGTTATAGCAGACTTAGGTATGACTCTAGTTTGTTATATATATTACATAACATTGTGTATTATCCTAAGGATGGGAATCGATTATAGATTCGATTTTTTGTTCCTTAAAAGATAATCCATTTTAAGCTTTGATAATTAATTCCATAATCAGTAAAATCTATTAAGAAATTATATATCATTACTAATACCCAACTGTAAATTACTATAACATCATTGCCCAATCATTTGCCGATCATTTTGTCATTTTTAAGTTTTTGAAGATCAATTTTTCTTTTTTGAAAATATTTTAAATCATGCACTTTGAGAAAGACAAAGAGGGACTCAAGACTACACTAGCCAAGAAGAAGAAGAAGAAGAAGAAGAATAGAAAATAGATTTTTATTTATTTATTTATTTTATGTAAAGTCGGAAGAACTATTCTAAGAGAGCATTACTTCTAAGAAGTGTGCCCAACATTTAGTCCATCATCTATCCCGAGGGGCAGACTCTACCTAATTATTATATATAATAGACTGCTCCAACAACATGACCGATAAAGGAGCAGGTGAAAGGAAATAGAAAACTAGAGAACCAAGAAAAAACGAATAACTATCAAATGACTACATTAATGTGGTAAATATCAAGTAAATAAAGTATCTTATATAAAAATTAGGTGTAGCAAAACTATACATTATAAAATAAACAAATGTCTGTAGATAACAGTCTAAATACTAAAAGAAATAAACCCGTATTTTGCTTTTGATCTCATGATCGCCACCTGTAAATACTGTCAGAGGTGGAATGATTCACACTATTCAAATTGTTTTTGTATAAAGTAGTGGGTAAAAATATTGATATAGCAAAAAGCTATTGGGGTAAAAATAAAGTATGTGTGTATAAAAATTACAAAAAAAGAAATGTACTAAAATAAAATTTTTAGGGGTTAATTTTTTCTACGTCATCGGTCGAATACCGAATACGTTTGGAGGGTAGCGCCTGTTTATGAATATTAAGGTTAGCGTTAATTAAGGTAGAACGTTTGTGTGGTCTATGCTCAATAGCATGGGTGTTATCAGATGTTTCTGAGTATATAATCTCGTCAGGGTTGTCCGGATTATCATAATATTTTTTTACAGTATCTTCAAAATTCAACGAGAATTTGAGAATTTTCTCTCTAAGTGGATCATTTTTGGCACTAGTGGGCGCCATATGGATTTTTCATTTCTTACATAAACCTCGAAGTCTTCCATGATATTCATCGGCGAATGATGTAAGTAGTTCCGATTGTAATTGTCATTGGTCGGCACGTTTAATACTTGTACCTAATTCAGAAGCTAATTTTGTTTTTCTATCGAGCTTGGGTTGGTCTTTCTCTCTTTGAAGTTTTTCTTTTTCGTCCTTTACCATTATTTTGTATCCTGACGGATCAGCATTTCTAGCAATTTGATGAACAATATTAAACCATATACGAGTACCAGGTGTGTTATATTTATAGTCAACACCATATTTACTATAGTGGTTTTTCTTGAAAAATAATGGTGATTTGGGAATGTGAGGTATAAGAAAGGATGAATGTAAGTATCATCATCAGGTAAGGGATTATAATTGTTAATAGCCTCTTCACGCCATTTGACTTCTTGTCTAAATCTTCATTCTTTATAAGGTATGTATTCATTAATGGGCATGGTCGGGATATCAAGAGAGAGTTCCACGTCTTGCTCTTTCATTTCAATAGGTTCAATCACAATATTCTTCTTTAAGGTCGATATGGTTTTAGGTTTAAAGTGAAAAAAGGGGACCAAATAATTATAATGTGTAGGATCGGGAATCGTATCGTTCGCTCGATAATGAACATGACATAAATGTTTATCAATGACTTGTGAAGGTGTAAAAAGAAAATTATGTTTTCTAGACGCGCTCAGTTTATCATCAACACTAAGTGATACGTTAGGTTTTCCAACATTAAAGACACGAGTACATGCCCTTTTAAAACGTCATTCCTGTTTCTTACGTGTACAAGGGTGTTTACTAGGATGAAACTGTAAATCCCAATATCTTTTTCGATACATTGGTTTCTTCGGTCTGTTGAAGAATGAGCTACTACCATTAGCGTAATATCGAGTCTGATAACTGATACCAAGGCGACGTGAGTATATCGACTTCTTTTGATGTGTATCCCATCTTTCAAACGTGAGGTTAGCATGGCCCGCTTTGTTGTTGTAAATTTGGTTTTTTTCCGACTTGGAACGATCGGGGGATTTAATAAAATTATGTAAACTATTTTTAAAAAAATATGATTGGTGGGTTACACATGCTCATCTGCCTTGTGACATCACAAAGGGGGAGGGTACATCACAACGAGAGGTAGTTTTGATGAATTGAGATGATACACATAAATGTGAACAAGGAATGTATATACCGAAATAAAATCTATACTTTTTGTAAGAAAAGGGAAAAAATGTTTTGGTGGTTTGGTTTCGTTTAATATCACTAGAAGCACGTGATTTTATAATGTTTATTCTATCCAATAATTTGTCTCTAATAAAATTGAAAAATTTTTGGCGAATTTTGCTCGGAATAACTCGTTGCGCCAGAAAAAAGTGCATGAGCATCTTGGATATTGCAAATTTGGCGTTGAGTTTTTTGCTTGCAGAATAATGCCTAACTGGGGTAGTGTTTATATGATAATCATTTGTGTGTATTATAAAATTAAGGGGATTGGTGCTTGTTCTTTGATCGGCAAGCTCAAAAAAGTAACATCTTGAACACCTAATTTCATAAATCTTGTTATAACCGGTTCGTGTTGGTTTGGTCACGTGAAATTTTTTTATCAAAATATCGAAGGGAGTATTTGTTAAAGACATTTTGTAAAAAGAAAGAAAATGTCAATATAAAAGTTGTATATTAAAGGGGGCGTATATGGGCAGATAGAAAAGAAAAAAGTAGTTACTCTATCCTAGGGGTGAAATATATATAGATATATGTGAAAAAAGTTTTAGGTATAACTAAATGAACTTCTATCGACTAAAGCGAGCGTATATTTCTATTAAAAACAAAAGTTTTTACCACACGTATATACTGCAAGGTGTGGAATGGATAATATTCATGAGTTGTTTTGGGTATACTATTTGGGTGTCCTATGATGTTTTATAATGAAAACAAAAAGTTCGTATAGCGAAAAAATTTTCTACTGCGCCATTCTAACGGTTTGGAAAAATTAAGGAGAGAGTTTTTTTTTTTTTAAGAATAGAAAATAGAAGATTTATCGAAATTTATACCCAAAGTTTTATCGAAGTCACGTGATTTCACGTAAAAAAGATTCTGATCCCAAATTATTTTAAACTTTGGTAGAAATTTTTAACTAATTTTTTTTTTTTTAGGGGTCTAGGATAAATATAAAAATTTAGGATATTGTAGAGTTTGATTAGTTTCGTAAGCTAGATTAGGGAAAAATCATAGTTTAATTCTGATATCCTTTACATTAGTATATCTTAGAAAGTCTTTATTCACATAGTTTAGTTCAGTTAGGAAGGGTAAGTTTATTTTATTTTATTTATTTAGTGCTAAAGTAATACTCTGTTATAGGGTTTTCCGTGCCGTGTGAGCATGGTTGGCTCTAAGTGTCTAGATGTATTGGGAACCCTTAATTTTTTTTCTTAATAAAGATACGTTACAGTTTAAGGTGCAAATTGCACAAAAAAAAAAAAAATCATGCACTTTAATTTTGGATGCAATGCTAAATTAATTTTTTTGCTTAATTTCAATTTTCTCTTCAACAAATGAGATTCGATTTTGATTCGATTATCCCTATATTAGCCAAGTTTAGTAATGATTTGCATAAACCGCGATTATTATTTCTCTTGTTAAGTTTCGATCTGTCCCTTAAGTAATATTCGCAATTTTGCAGCTTCGTATATACCCGTAGGTGGTGTGATTCAACATGTTGTCTTATATGTGTATAGTTTTGCAAATTCACACCCTATCTAAACTCCTGATGATTGTGGCGATTCTTATTTTATGCTCAGTATCATAAATATATAATTGAATAAATATTGGCGGATGTCCATTCTCTGGTAGTAATGATCCAATACAATGATAAATTTGCCTATGATATTGAAAATTAGATACACCTTGTTTTAAGATGATTAATATTGGCTTCAATATGTGTATGATAAAAGAGTGTTATAACTTCTTATATTTTTGTAAAATAAATTTGTATCAGAATCTGATGAAGTATATAAATCTAGTAAATATGGAGGTGGTTTAAGCAGAGGCGGTAATCTGACTTTATCATCAGCACAGCATACAGTAAAAGATGGTGATATTTTACTATTTTATGTTTTTTTTCTATCCAAAATTTGGTGCCACAATGGATGTAAATCTGATCCATTCTTCCCAATTCATGACGCCTTATGCTAACATGTTGTGTAGCATCTATAAGACTTATATTATGATATTATATTGATGGGAAAATTGATGTTTTATATATATTATCACAAAAATAAAACATGTATTGATGATTTATGAAAGAACAACTTGATAAAAATAATGTATTCGTGCAATTTATTGTTATCAAAAAAAAAATTTAATATTGAATAAATAATATTAAAAAGTTATCATTATTAATACCAAAAAAAATCACATTACATCCTATTGTTTTTGACGAAAAAAATATAATTTAAAAAAAAATTATTATTAAAGAATATTATGCTAAAAAAAATAATCCGTTGCTCCCAATTGTTATCAAATAAAAAATATTATTAAAAAAAAACCTGTTGCGGCCTATTATTATCGACGAAAAAAATATAATTTTTTAAAAAAAATCGTTGTGTCCATTGTTATCAGTAGTACTTCGATCCGGATGGGTTTTTAACGGATCAATCCGCGGTTTACTACGGGTTGGCAACGGTTTATTTGAGTTGGAGCTATAAGTTTGGCCAAAATTAATAAAATTTGAAGAATAATTTTTTCAAATCTGACAAAAATTATAGTTTGACAAAAATAATAGAAAAATGTTGTGATCCTAATCAACGGCCGGATCAATACTAGTTATCAGGAAAAAAAATCAAAAAAATTTAATTGCGGTTTATTTTAAAAAAATTGACCATATCGGAATCTAATTAGTAAATATCTGAATACTTTGGGTCATCCCGGATCACACTTTCGGGACCTTCAATCTAATCATAAAAAGAGTACATAGTTATAATAGTATTAGTAATCGACAAACGGGCTAATTAATTTTTTTTTAATTTCAATAATAAATAGCTATAATTTACGGAGTAGATGTTATCGTATGAAACAATATCATGTGAAATTAGAATATTATAGATAATTTTATAATAGCTTTTTTAAATATCCTTTAAATTTTGGTAATAAAAAACTACGATATTTTCAGTCAATAACGATTTTCGTATCTGTCAGGATTTAGTACCAGACCCATAATGTTCAGTCAATAGAAATGATCAGGTTTCATAGTACGATCATTCATCATTAAATGAATCCCGTTTGCAATTAGTATGAAACTTCCTTATTTGCTGATCAATTGAATACCACATGCAGATTTAAGGGGGTAGTACGATTATTTACTGTAATGATAAAATGATATAAATAAATAGAAATGATCGGTATTCATATTGATTTATTACTGATCCAAAAATTTAACTAAAAATCGACAGATAATAAATTAATAATAGATGTTAAACAATTTTAAACGGGTAATCTAAATATGATAGAATTTAAGTTTGATACGTACTCGCCGATACATGCTGTGTCATATGATAATCGTGAAGACTCAACCAATTAGAAGCAGGATCTACTGGGCTTAATTATATGAATAATGCTTCAAATAAAATAAAACACGTGATTTGGGCGAACTAAAATTTTGCATAATTTCGAATTCCTTTTTCGTCGTGCAATATCAATAGTAAAGATATATCCCCGTACACTTCATGTGATAAAAACAAAAAAACGCTTTATTGGGAATTATTTAAATCGTACATACTAACCATGTGTGAACCGTACAATTATTTATGATCTGTGCCAAGAACGTCACACGCATTATTCCTTTATAAGAAAAGATATTTTTGGGAAGAAATATAAATAATGTACACACTTAACCATTTGAATTATTAAAATCATAATTCGTCATGAATAAAAAAATACTTCATCCTTTTACTTGTATTTTTTTTCATTAAAAAAATTCATGGTTGTCATCCTGCTGGTAGCGGGTGCCTCCAAGAGGAACTTGGTATGATATTTGGATTTCAGTATATTGGAGTTGTGGAAACGATTCCGGAAATAGTAGACATTGTATTAGTGAAGATATATACTACCGAGATTATGTCAAATAGAAACTAAATGGTACCGATATTTTTGTTTTATTTTAATTTATTTTTGTAATTATTATAATTATTATTATAGTTTCATATTTACATCATAAAATTCATAGTCCATAAATAAAATTTTATAATCATTATAAAAAATATCAATCATTTCCGGTTGTTTGTGCTTAGCACATAATTTAGTACCCTTATCTGAGTCAAAACATTAAAAACTACACATAAGCATTTTCTGGCCCTCAAGTGAATCATCCCTTCTTCGAGGGAAATGTTGACCTTCAATAACTTGAGTTCTTTGGAAGCAACGTTATCGAAAAAAGGCTTTTGGTTCTCCTTAATAACGTCCTTGAAAAAACTAACTAGCTTCATTGTATCTATTTCAACTGCAAATGCATTTTCATAAGGGTTTTCTCCTGCAACCAAACAGCTAAGAGTGTAACCAGAGCGCTATTCGCATATCATCCATTATGTATTTCTATACTAAACTAAATAAAACTAAACTACATTGTTCCAGTTGTGTTTCTATACTAAGCTAAACTATAATACTGATCCTCAACAGACCACAAGTAAAACTAAACTAAGACTATATACGCTATATTAAAAAAAACTATTTTTTACACGTTTTTATAATTTTTGCTAATATATGTATATAACTATTTTCTAAAATTTCCTTACCAAAAAATTTACTTTTTACCTCCATTGTTTATGTAATCTCGACGGAGAAAATTTGATAATGACCTACTTTGTTGCCACTCCATCGGAACACCACTTGAGGCAATATTCTGATAACTCGTTCGTCGAATACATTCTTGCAGATCTCCATTATCGATATAATCATATTGTTTCTTTATCCACAATCCATTTCCCAAATCGTCATTTTCTATAGATGCATTAATCGCATTCATCAGATCCATTTCCTTGTTAAAATATAAAATTATAAATCTCATCCCTTTGACTCTAATAATTTTTCCAAAAAAAGCGTGATTACTTTTCAGAGTAAAAAAAATTTGCTTCGCAACTTTTTTTAGCTGCTCAAGCTTTTTTTCCAAAAAAAATATGTATTACAAGTATTTCATGACTTTTAAAAGAAATTCCCAAATGGAAATTTTTTCTCCATTCTATAAAACCCTTTATTACAAAAAAAAAATTGAATGAGATCTTAAAAAAATTTTTGATTAAAAAAACGAATCCTTTTATTTTAGAGTGCAAGAGCAATTAATGAAAAAAGAATCCAATATCTAAAATCATCTTTAACTTAAAGAAGGAACTTTTTACAATAATCAAAATTTTAAGTAAAAAAAAGTACAAAGCGAAATTTCTCCTCTTAAAAATAATTCTTAAAGAAATTTTTTCATATAAACTTCATGCACTTTAAAATTTTTTTTTAATGACTAACAACTGAAAAAATAAATATATCATCACTTTTTATTTTTTTTAAAAAAAAAATTTTATTTACGCTCTCTTCAATTAATCCCGGTAATCTCTTTTATGTTGTATTTCTTTTGAGTATCTTTGGGGCAATGCACAATGTGGTTTACTTTGCAGGCATTAGAAATATATGTATAGAAAACTTTTTTAATATTTAATATTTTTTCTTGAGAATAATAAGAATAATAGAATTGATTCATTTTAAATAAATAGGATAAATCATAATAAAATCTTGCATAATATGTGATAAAATCAAATAACCTATCATTTGAAATTATTTTCATTTCTAATCATTCAGTTTGTCAAACAGTTAATTTGAATAGATCTAATGCTTAAAACAATTACTATTTATATTATTAATTAACTTTATTCTTTTTAGATGATTTTTCTATAATATATTTTATTATATATATTATGTATTTATATTCAAATTGAGGTCTAAAATATTCAATAATAAAATTATTGCAACTTGTAAGATCACTAAAGAGCGTCAGTTAAATTTGGCTCAGATATAGACTAGTGTTTGTCCGGTTAATGATATCCGCTATTACAGCTGATTTCATAATATACGGAACACCCATCATTTTTACTCCATACCGCCGAGAGAAACTCGGTAAGATTCGTTATAATTAAGAATAAAATAATAACTACACCACTGGTTTTACCTTATTCTGAACTTTACCGAGTTTTACCGAATGTAACTATTAGGTGTCCGTATATTATGAAATCAGCTGTAATTAGATCTGAATATAAATTTACCGGGTTATCCAGATTATCCAGATATTGCACCGTTAAATTCCCAATGCTGATCATTTCTGCAGAAATTAACCGTAATTCCATGATATTCATACCCTGTAATCTATATAATATAATAAAAAAATACATGTCGATCTTCTAACGTTTAGATTAGCCTGTATAAATAATCTTTGAATTGTATCGCATGATTCACATGATTCATTTGCGCCTAACAGTATTAATTATTTTATATATATACTAGCAGTTACCTGTTGCTTTGCACTGGACCTAATGAGTTTGTTTAAATAGAACAATTTGGTATTATAATGTAAATTAAAAATGGTTACAGTTTTTTGTTTATTAATTAAAACTTGATATATAGTTAATAATTAGTTAACAAAAAAATATTAAAATAAGATATATTAAATCATATTAACAATTAGTAAAATGATATTTACAGTATTAGAATAATATAAATTATATTTAGAAATGATATGAATTATATTTACAATAATGTAGCTATATATTAGAATGATATAATTATAGTGCATTAAAGTAATTTAAATTATATTTACAATAAATGAGTGTTAAATATTTTGAAAAATTTCATTATATACAATGTTTTTTGTCTGACAGTTCTCTTGATGTAATATGAGAATTTTAATTCACTGATATCTATGAGATTTATGCATGTCTGTACAGGTTTGACTTTCATTATTTTATCTTTTTTTACATTGTTCAGGCGTTTTATCTTCAAATGTTTCCTGAAGTGAAGCCATATTAATTTAGTATTAACAAAATATTACATATTATGTTGATGGAAAATTGATGTTTTATATATATTATCACAAAAATAAAATATATGTTGATGATTTATGATTTATCAAAGAACATTTTGATAAAAATAATGTATTTGTGGAATTTATTGTTATCGAAAAATTTTAATATTGAATGAATAATATTAAAAGTTATCATTATTAATATCAAAAAAAATTACATTGTATCCTATTGTTATTGACGAAAAAAATATTGTTATTATGAAAAAAATATTGTTATTGACGAAATAAATATAATTTTTAAAAAAAATAATTGTGTCCCATTGTTATAAGAAAAATAATCAAAAAAACATTTAATTTCATTTTATTTTAAAAAAATTGGAATCTAATTAGTTAATATCCTACATGAATACTTTGGATCACACTTTCAGGACCTTCAATCTAATCATGAAAAGAGTACATAGTTATAATAATAAGTATTTGTAATCAATAAACGGGCTAATTAATTTTTTTTTTAATTTCAGCAATAAAATAGCAATGATTAGCAATTTGGTATTAATGCTATAATTTACTGATTAATGGATTTTAACCATAATAATATAGATCAAATATTTCGGGAGCAGACAAACCACCCATTACACAATTCAAATTATTTATACAGGGTAATCTAAATACTATAGAATTTTTTTATTTAACTTACTTTAATATGTGCTATATAATGAAAAAATTAATTTATAATATGTTATGTAGATGTATCATATGAAACAGGGATCAAAAATATATTTTATGTTAAATCATACGAAATTATAATATTATAGATAATTTAATTTTATAATAGCTTTTTTTAAAATATCTAAATTTTGGTAATTTGGTAATAAAGCTATGATAATTTCAGTCAACAGAAATGATCGGTGTTCATAGTATGATTTATTATATAAAATGATCGGCATTTGTAATGATAAAATGATGATATAAATGATCAGATTGATCGGTATTCATGATATTGATTTACCGATCCAAAAATTTAACTAAAAAATAACAGATAATAAATCAATAATACAGATAAATACACATTATATCATTATACAATTTTATATGACTTTTTAGTTATATAGATATGTAGATATAAATAATAGATAAAAGGGTTTAAAATTTAAACGCACCTGGCGTTCAAATGCACCCTATCACGTGATGTGATTTTAAAATTTTATTGGTTGTGTATTTAGATAATCAATCTATTTTTTATTTTTTATTTTTATTTTTACTTCATTTAGGAACGTTTTATAATGTTTTTTTTTCATTACCCTTTTTTTGTAGGAATACCCTGAAGACAAAATGGACTCCTAAAAATAAAAGGTGTTTTTTTCATTTTTTCCCATTCATTTCGTTCAAGAACGTTCCTAACGTTCTTTCAGTAATTTTTTTTATAGGAACACCTCCTGGTGACTCTTGGAGATGAAAGGTAATGTTTCTTTTTTGTTTTCTTTTAATGTCATTTAAGAACGTTTCCTAACGTTCTTTCAATAATTTTTTTGTAGGAACGCCTCCTGGCGACTCTGGAGATGAAAGGTAATGTTTCTTTTTTGTTTCTTTTGTTAATGTCATTTAAGAACATTTCCTAACATTCTTTCAATAATTTTTTTTATAGGAACACCTCCTGGTGACTCTTGGAGATGAAAGGTAATGTTTCTTTTTTGTTTTCTTTTGTTAATTTCATTTAAGAACGTTTCCTAACATCTGTCTCTTATACACATCTAGATGTGTATAAGAGACAGCTCTGGAGATGAAAGGTAATGTTTCTTTTTTGTTTCTTTTGTTAATGTCATTTAAGAACATTTCCTAACGTTCTTCAATAATTTTTTTTATAGGAACACCTCCTGGTGACTCTTGGAGATGAAAGGTAATGTTTCTTTTTTGTTTTCTTTTGTTAATTTCATTTAAGAACGTTTCCTAACATTCTTTCAATAATTTTTTTGTAGAAACGCCTCCTGGTGACTCTGGAGATGAAAGGTAATGTTTCTTTTTTGTTTCTTTTGCTAATGTCGTTTAAGAACATTTCCTAACATTCTTCCAATAATTTTTTTTATAGAACGCCTCCTGGTGACTCTTGGAGATGAAAGGTAAGTTTTTTATGTTTTCTTTTGTTAATTTCATTTAAGAACGTTTCCTAACGTTCTTTCAATAATTTTTTTGTAGGAACGCCTCCTGGCGACTCTGGAGATGAAAGGTAATGTTTCTTTTTTGTTTCTTTTGTTAATGTCATTTAAGAACATTTCCTAACATTTTATTGATAGTTTTATAGGAACACCACCTGGAGGCAAAATGGACTTCTGGAAAGAATTAATTCGTGATCCACCAGTGAACCATAAAATTTGACTATTAAAAGGCGGTGATAAGTTCATATGTATTTTATCAATAATTTAGAATCTGCGATTCTGAAGAAAAAATATGGAATAACTCTCCTTCTATTGGTCATAGAGACATAAAATTATTTACATTTTTTTGCCTTATACTAATACAATTGTAATGATATGATAACAATAAAAATCTGCATTTCAAATCGGGTATGCTTCTAATATATTGTTATATTACTCTCTTGCTTTAATCATTATGCACCCTCCATTCCCCGGCGCAGCGCGACGGGCTACAACTAGTTAGTTAAATAAAATAAGAATAATACAGTTAAAATTAAGTAATAAATTGCCATTGAATCTTTATTCGGTACAACTTTGTTAAGTGACTGACCATTAGAATCCATCAAATGACGACAGATGCTATCCAGTTTACCAAAAAAGACTTTTGATATAAACAATTCTTAACGCCTTAACGGTACTATAATTTTGGAACAAATTAGTATAAAACTAAGCTGAATTCTTTTTATTCAATTGGAAAGATTGTTATAAATACTTCAGATCAATATAGTATTATCAATATATTATGAAATTAGAAGTTAAAAAAAGTTATCTACATGAATTATTGTATGATTTATACTCAAATACTGTAAAATTGTAAAATTTAAGTCCTTGGAATACTTAGTAAAAATGGAAAGTTTCATCAAATGATAAAAAATATGCACACAATTATTGTTTTATTATTAATTGCGAAAATTTAGATTTAAAAGTAAAAAACAACTTGTAGAAGTAATTTATAAACAAATTTTATTTCTTTTTTACAGTATTATACATCTGAATGATATACAGTAAATGACCATTACAATAAAAAAATTATATAACACTTTTAATAAATATAATAAATATAGTAATAAAAAGAATATGCATAAATATCTTAAAAAATTTTACCATTTGTATTATTCATTTTCTTAATTTTTTTAATTGATTTTGAGCATCTTGATATCCTTGTTTAGCAGATTTATCAAACCAATAAATTGCTTGATTAATATCTTTTTTGATTCCTCTTCCTTTTTTATACATATATCCAAGATTAAATTGAGCTAAACTATTTCCTGAATTTGCTGCCTTATGATACAATTCCATAGCTTTTCCGTAATCTTGCTTGACACCTTCTCCATTTTCATACATATTGCCAAGGTTATTTTGAGCCATATCATTTCCTAAATTTGCTGCCTGTTGATATAATTCGAATGCTTTTTTTATATTAACACTAGTTCCTATACCATTATTATAATAATAACCTAATTTCACTATTCCATCTGAGTTTCCTCCTTCAGCTGATTTTTGAAATAATTTAAAAGCTTTATTATAATCTTTATTCACTCCAATCCCATTTTCATACATAGCTCCAAGGTTGTATTGAGCCAAACTATTTCCTGAGTTTGCCGCTTGTTGATATAGCTCAATAGCTTTGTAATAATCTTTACCAATACCATCTCCATTTTTATACATGAGAGCAAGATTATTTTGAGCCATACTATGTCCTAAATTTGCTGCCTGTTGGTATAGTTCGAATGCTCTTTTCTTATCAACACTAGTTCCTATACCTCTACTATAAAAATAACCTAAATTCATCATTCCATCTGAATCTCCTCCTTCAGCTGATTTTTTAAATAGTTCAAAAGCTTTGTTATAATTTTTGTCCATTCCTTCCCCATTTTTATACATATAGGCAAGATTACGTTGAGCCAAACTATTTCCCGAGTTTGCCGACTGTTGAAATAATTCAATGGCTTTGCCATAATCTCTACTGACAACATCTCCATTTTTATACATAAGAGCAAGATTATTTTGAGCCAAATTATGTTGTAGATTTGCTGCCTGTTGGTATAATTCAAATGCTTTTTTCTTATTAATACTAACCCCAATGCCATTATTATAACAATAACCTAATGCCACTATTCCATCTAAATTCCCTCCTTCAGCCGATTGCTTAAATAATTCAAAAGCTTTATCATAATCTTTACTAACACCATCTCCATTTCTATATATATGGCCAAGACTATGTTGAGCCACACTATTCCCTGAATTTGCTGCCTTGTGATATAATTCAAAAGCTTTGACATAATCTTTATCAACAATTTCTCCATTTTTATACATATAACCAAGATTATATTGAGCCATGCTATTTCCTAAATTTGCCGCTTGTTGATATAATTCATATGCTTTTTGATTATTAATATTTATTCCAATTCCTTTTTTATAAAAATAACCAATTTTTAATAATCCCATTGCATGACCTTTATTAGCTATTTCTTCACAACACTTAAAAGCTAGCTTTTCATTTTTTACAGTCCCACGACCAGTTTCATAACATAATCCAACATAAAATTGTGCTAATATATGACCTTTCTCTGATGCATTAAAAAACAGATCAAATGCTTTCTTATTATCTTCACTTGTTTCGATTCCTAAATAATTAAAATATCCGAGTAAGAATATAGAATTTGAATTTTTTTGATTAATTAATAACCATTCGTAAATTTCTCGTGAATTTATATTATTATTATTAAAGTGACTAAGAATATTTTTAGTATTTTTGTATAATGATGAGTGTTTTCCTTCATTAGCTACCTTGAAGATATAATTTACTATATCATCAACTATTAAATTTTTTTCGGATGAAATATTTTCATTTGTTAGTAGTGCTGTAGACACTATTTCTTTTGTATCCGATATAACAAAATTTTCGATGATCAGAGACATCTCCCCAGAAGTATCAGCATTAATTTTATTGAATATTTGTGGTTTTGACTGAAGGTGTAATCCAGTTTGATAATTTTTGTTTGGTTTTGTTTTATTATTTTCTGGTACTTTATATATTTCCTTTGTATTCATTAAACCGAAATTTTCAATAAACTGAGACATTTCCCCATGTAATGAATTATCAATATTTGAAGGAGTATCAACGTTAATCTGATTAAACTTTTGTCCGTCTGTTGATTTTGATTGAAGATTTAATCCTGTTTCATAATCTTTTATTGTAATATTTGTTATTGTTGTAATTGATTTTAATCTTTCTACTACTTGATTTATAGTTGGACGATTATCTGGTTCGCCATTCCAACATTCTAAAAAAAAGGTATGATAATATATTGTAAATAATATAATTAAAGAGAGTTTGATGAAATTTTTTTTTAAAAAAAAAATATTACGCACCAGTATAAATTTTAATATAATCTTCCGGCGTATTTGGAATAGGTTCTTCTCTAAGACCTTGTGAAATTTCTAAAGCCAGATCAATATCATATTGTTCACCTTCAGTACAAAAGGGAGGCTGACCACTGGATATCTCCCAGAACAATACGCCAACGCTATATATATCACTTTTTTCAGTTGATGAGCATAATGGCGTTGAGTTTTTATTCTTTCTTCGTCCGCTGAATCTTATCGGATCAACGTAAGGAATTATTCCAAAAAGTTTTGACTGTGAATTGGATGATGATTCAATTCTCTTTGATAAGCCGAAGTCGGATAACTTGACGGTATTTTGATGGACCAATACATTACTGGAGTGCTATTAAAAAAAAAACGCGTTAAAATCGTTAAAATATGAAACCAAATTTTTGAATAATTTAATAAAATAAATTACCAAATCACGGTGCACTATTCCTTCATTATGTAAGCATGACACGGCGCAAGCTAATTGGTACGCCAAGTTACATTTATCGTTCCAACTAAGACTATTAAAGTTTACTTTCAAATAATTTTTAAGGGTACCAGAATCAGCATACTCCATCACTAACATATAATTTTTTGCTTGAGAATTTTGATTTTCTAACGATGAATGAAAATGATAATCATTTGTTATTAAATTAAATTTAGCAGTAGGATAGCTAAGAATAATATCATTAAAATTTACTATACCTGGGTCAAATTTTGCAATTCCATAAAATTTAATAATATTATTATGAAATTGTATATCACGTTGAAGTTTAAGCTAGAATATAAAATATTATAAATATAAATTTAAAGTATATAATGAGTATTAAAACGTTGTCGTACTTGTATTATATAGTTTATATTTTATAATTTATACCTCATGAACGATTTCTTTTGCTGTGAGGTCGTTAAAATTAAAAAAGGATTTTAACGCAAAACATTGTCCTGAACTTTTCCAATTTGCACGATAAACTTTTCCAAATCCTCCCATACCAATTTTTTGTAAGTTACTAAAATGGTTTTGATCATAAAATCTAAAATATTCTTTTGATATAGCTTCTTCAATCCAGTTAATCCACTCATTTGTATTTGTTGTATTTTGCATTTTGATAATTATGAATAATTATAGAATGTAAAAATCAAGAGACGAAAGAATTCATTTTTGGGCTTTTTCACTTTAAATAACAATAGTCTCTATAATAATTTTCGTATTACAATGCACGAATAGTTATCTCTCTAAAAACAATATCTTTTTTTTCAATCATTATCTTTATTGCACGCCTTTATCAATTTGGTAATAAATCTCCAAAAAAAATGTCATTATACTATTTGAAACAGATCAATTATAATAAGGACAAAGTAACATCATTTGTATAACCTAATAAAGTTAATTCAAAGTTTTTATGGTAAACTAGGGAACAGCCAAACAGCCAAACAGGGCCACAGGACATAAGATAGTGTATTAATTTTATTTACCGCGTGACGAAAACTGATAACAACGGTATTACTACTTTCTTTATTGAGATATGACGGGAACCAATCAGCATTGAATTTGCTATCATGCCGGAAATTTTGTACCACATTAGCCTGGTACTTGGCTGGAACTATTTTTAGTTTTCCACTTAAGGATGTGTAGTTCTTATTGAATTAGGGGTAAGTTGAGAGCGCTCAAAGGAATTACATCGATTGAAAAAATAAACCAAAGTTTCCTTATAAGAAATAAGTCGACTTAGAAAATGAAGGAAACGAAGTTATCCTAGGGATGTAATTGCCCCGATTTTCGACGGAAAAACTTGGTGCTGTACGACAGTGAGTTAAATTATTATGATAAAGGCATAAAGTACATTGTTCTTAAATAATGAGATATGTTTTTATTAAAAGGATATTTCCCTGGCGGAAATAAATTATAAAATGGAAATTACAATATATATAATAGTTACACCCCGAAGGGGTGACACGATATTTTATCCACCACAACCAATAACTAGATTATTGCGTCAGACACGCAAGATAATACTATTATTATAGTAAGAGTATATAAAAAGTAAAATTAAATTGTAATATGATTGCAAATATATTTGATATTTAGCCAATAAAAGAAAAATATCAATTATTTAGCCATTAACAAAAATTATTGTATAAGTTCTATGTAAGCACTGGACATTTTTCATGTATGTTATTGATCACTTTATAATAGTGATACACAAATTTTGGTCACTTTATAATTAGTGATATACAAAATTTTGATCACATTATTATAAAATAATAAATAAGATACGCGAAAAAGGTCTCAGTTGCTTTACGTCATACATATCCAATAACTTTATTATCAGTCATGTTTATGATAACTGATTTACACTAGGATGCTACTCTATCATGTGGCCTTCGGCCATATGATATACATAGCAATCCTAGTGGTAAATCAGTTATCATCTACAACATGACCGATAACAATTACATATCAGTCCGTCAAAATCAGCATGATCCTATTAGATTGACCAATAACATAAATATATTTGAGCAACATATTTCATTATAAGTCGGAATTATTCAGTAGTATTTTCTGATTGAACTTATAAGCGCACCAAGTAAGCGCAACTTAATTTGTAGATCAATCATTTGGACAAGAATTTGAGCTGATCGTTCATCTGACATATTCGTTTGGGTCACAACATAAATATTTGGGTACTAATTCGAAATTTTAAATAATATAAATAAAATAAATTGAACCAGGCTTTAATAGAACATTTTGTGTGAAAAATATTATATTTTCGTGAAACGCAAAAATAGAAAATGAAATAAAGTACAAAATATCATCATTATTTTTTTAACCAATCAAATTAAGACAAAATTCGCAACTAAAATCCATAATTATGATTGATTGTGATTAAACGGATAGCTAAACCAAATTGTTTTTTTTTTCTGGCTGAAAAATGTAAGTCGTATATTATAACACGATCAAAAACTCCAATTCAGCGACAAAGGCAAATGGTCAATGATATCAGAAGTGAATTTTATTTATGGTCCATCTAATAGATTTAATGTAAAGCTTAAAATGTGAATTCATTACAAGACCATTTCTTTTAAAGTTCTATTGTCTTGCGATTCATGATATGAAACTTACAATTAATAACGAAGTCGTGCACGACTTCTGTTACACTATAATTTAAATTATCACGGTAATTTTAATTTAACGTAAAAAGCGATAAATAAAATTATAATAAATACACTAACCTTTTTTCTTGCTATTCCACAATATTTTAAAGATCTCCGTAATGTAGATGTTGAAAGTTTCTCTATTCATTTCTCCTACAATTTCATCCAAATAATAATAGGCATGTTCTTTCATAATTTCACGTAAATTTATAAATAAAAGCGCATAAATTTTAAAATAAATAAATTATAAATAAAAATAAATAAAAGATATGAGAATTAAAAATTTTCATCCTTCCATTTTGCTCTTATAGTAGAGTTATTACACATTTCCATTGCTAGTAATGTGTAATAATTCTTCATATTGTTGTCGTACTAAGCTTTAGTAACTCAGCAATCTCCTGCACTCCATAACTATTACAAAACAAATACATCACACTCCTTCTTAAATCCTCTTTAAGAAAGTGTGATTGAATGTGACCAAGTGTGATCATCTAAAGTGTGATCACCAAGTTAAACGATAAAAATATGGTATTTCTTTAGTAAAAGGCTCTAAGTTTATAATATATAGTGTATAAAGGACCCATAAACCAATATATATATAAAAAAATCAAACATTTTTATTAAATGTTTACGTTTCATATACGCGAAAAAATTGGGATGGCAATAAAGTTGTATTAGTTCAGATCAAAAAAATTTAAAAAAAAATTATTGAAATTTAATTTTTATTAGTTATAGTTAGCGATATTGGCTAATAATAATATTGATATAAAAAAAAAAAA